CTAAAGATCCCACATCACAAATCAAAACGAAGGCTAATAAAATAATTGCACAGGTAAATCTTAATTCAACCTCTGCAAAACTCACCCCTATAGTCGGCGAATATAATCCAGGATATATCTAGGGAAATGTGAAAACTCACAAACCAAATAATCCATTAAGACCAATAATCTCACAGTGCCCCACTCCCACTTATCATTTAGCAAAGGCACTCAACAAACTTCTTGAGCCATATGTCCCTCGTACCTTCTCTGTCATGTCAAGCTTTGAGTTTATCGATATCATCAACGATAACAGAAGATGCGTCGGCCATATGGCTTTGTTGGATGTTGAAAACTTATTTACTAACGTTCCAATTGAGTATACAATTGATATCATCTGTAGACGTGTATATAATCATCTTACGCTTCCACAACTAGTTTACATTCCTGTTTACTTTGAAAGAAGTAGTTATTTTATTTACGGCGTGGTTAATTATCGATTATTTTATAAAAATGTCCGAGGTAAAAAATGTTGAAGTTGATCCACAGGTAGATGTAATTGATAAAGAATTTTTGATTAAATTGATGCTGTTCAAAAGTTTCGAATGTTTCGTCAGAAAGGGTAGGATCATCTCTCAATTATAGTACACTGCAAAAGAGACGGTCCAGTTTAAATCCATACAAAATTGACAAAATGTTTTTTATTAAGAGTAACAGTGATTTGGATGTAGATAGTTGTGATTTATAATGTCAATAAAAGCATTAATGTTGTTTTTCATTTCTTGCGATGCGGTTGCGGTTTTCGGCGGTGCGGTTGCGGTTTTCGACGCTGCGGTGCGGTTGCGGTTTCAAATGTTGCGGTGTTGTGCGGTTGCGGTTTTTGAAAATTTTAACCGCGCAGGGCTCTACTAAAGATCTGCACGGTTCAAAGCCCATTTGTTGCTTCGGATGGATCGCTACCGTCAAATTGAAGGTGTCGCCATGGGCTCTCCATTGGATTCTTTGTTCGCGGAATTCTACATGTCAGAACTAGAGACTAAAATATTTGCAGATCCAACAAATAAACCACCAATATGTGCTCGCTACGTGGATGACATATTCATCATTTGTTCCTCCGTCACCGACATATATAATCTGCAGATTTCCAAAATAACTCCCATCTGAAATTTACAATAGAATTCAGCACCGATGAGAAACTTTCGTTCCTCGATTGCTTAATTCAACAGAAAGAAGAACAACTAACTACCAAAGTTTACTGAAAC